GCTATGTCTAGGGACTGGTCACCAGCAAACGTGAAAATCAGGTTTTCTGTCAAACAATGGATGTTTATATTGTCTCATTCACAATGGGTCTCCTATCACCAAATGCAAATGAAGGATTGCAGGGACTTCAGAAAGAAATTAACAGGAAGAGAAAAGGAGTGGTGTGGGAAAGGGAAGTGGGGAGAGAGAAAACCCTATCTGGAGCTGTATATCAAAGTGTTGTTCCACTATATTTGGGAAACAAAGATGACGACCGGTCGCTTTTCACTGAGGAAGTAAAAGGACAGTGATTTTGCTTCATGAAAAAGGGGTCTCAGCCAGGCTTGGTTGAACATGCTGGAGACAACTTTGGATGTAATCATTTTCTTTCGACAGGAGGTTAACCTGTTAGTCAAGTTTAGTCTCTAGAAAGCTTGTTATGATTTTGTTTTATATGTAACCATTTGTTTCCAATATTCTTACTCACTGTTACTAGGATCTCTCTTCTTTGATAATAAACTTATTCTTGCTTTCACTATAAATACATCTCAGTGCTGTGGTATTAAGCAAAGTGAAGGTCCTGAGCTGAATCTTACAAGTTGGTGTATATTGGTCCTTTGGGAACAGCAGGCCTGGTAACTCTGTGAGTGTTCAGTGGAGAAGGAACTGGACACTGCAGGAAATGCTCCAAGGACTCGGGGGTGGGTACATGCCTTTTGCTACCTGTACAAAGCACGTGGCTTGCAGACCTGCCTGGAAGGCAGTGCTTGTGCTGCCAGAGGCTGTTGGTTTCAGGGAGCCAATCCACAGCAAGCACAGACAAAACTCCTTTACGCTAAAGGCAGGTGGCAGTGAGGTGCCTCATAACCCTGGGTACCCTGGGGGAACGTTCACATTGGGACAAACAAAACATGTTTGACCTGAAATGTTGTTTCCAGGTGGTTTTAAAGGCCTAGGTTCACAGAGCAGGAGGTGAGGGTGGTGCCCCTCTTATAACTTTTAGCCCAGTGATTAGACAAATTTTTATCAAATGTATGAATGGTTTCAGGTCAACCAAAATAGCTTTTTTCCAGTGAATAAACTGTTCACCCAATTTTTTTTGCTCAGTTCTAGTTCTGTCACTATGAAGAGGAGGGTGTAGCTTCTACTCAAACAATGTTTTAAAGTTTCAAGACTCAGACTATTTTTCTGAAGATTGTGCTCAAACTACCAAGAATATGGTCAAAAGCAGCTGCTAAAAATCTACTTTGTAGCCAATTACACGTGGCCTTTTACTGTAGCCCAGAATGAATTTTTGCTTTTCATTTAATGGACAAAGCAATGCACACTTCCCCATTAAAGTTAAGAGTGTAGGGAGTGGTGGTAGGAACATCACAGTGCTATTTATTTAATTTCGTTCTCTAGGCAGAATTTTATTTATTATCACAAACAGTTTAGAGACTGAATTATTTCCCAGTGTTGACTCAGTGCTTCATCTTTCTAAGACAGATAAATCCAGTTTCCTTGTTTTGTACTGTGTGTTGGTCTTTGAGATAAGACTTTCCATGACACTCTTCATTGGCCAAAACTATCTCCCCCACAAATACAAGATTGTACAGTTTGCTCTGCTTGTGTGGTTAGCTGATGGCCTCCATCCAAGAGGTTGTAGCATTTCAATGACTGCATGTTGTGAACTGCATTGGGATGAAAGATGTGGTCCCTAAAATGATATTATGAGGAAGAAGGAGGGGATTAAGATGGTAAGAGAGAGAGGAGAATGGGAGAAATGAAGAGAATCAAGCAAGTGGTCATGTACCATAGGCCCACATTTAAATTTGAGGACAGTGTAGTTACAGTAGGGATGAATTTGTTCCATTGTGATTTGTACATCTCAAAAGGGGGTGCGGGGAGTTAAGGCAAAATTTAAATTTTGATCCCAATCTGCTTGGACAACTTCCTTTATTTTTTTTTCACTGTCTCTTCTCCTCCCTCATCAGCTCCCATTAAGTTTCAGCAAGGTACTTAAGCACAGCCTTAATTCTGAACACCAAGTAGTCCCACTAACTTCAATGTAGATACATGCTTTAGTACCTTGCTGAACTGGGACCTTAATTTCCCTCTTCCTTGAAATATCATCATAGGTACAGAAACATCCATGCCAAAGCACTTCACAACCTGCATAAATCCAACACTACTGAGGTTAGGGTTACCATACGTCCGGATTTTCCCGGACATGTCCGGCTTTTTGGGCTCCAAAT